TGTTTAGTGTAAATTAGCTAATTATAATCCTATTATTTCACCTAGTTAGGAAAATACACCAAATACCCAAGTCTAAGAACAAAACTTAAAAAGAACTCATAATTTTCTATAGTTTTTTTACTCGTGAAATATGAAAATAGCATCGCGTATAATAATCATGCTATTTTATTAAATAACAAGTTGTCGAAAAAATATATTATTATCTTTTAAAACTTGCGCGGAACCATTGACATAATAGAGGCTATGTATATATAATCTCATCCCATCCGTTTGAGGGTAATTACTTGGAAAAAAAATCATCTAGCTAATTAAATAGATGAATATTTTTATCACGTGTATATTAGTCGAAATTAGTTTCATTCCATTAAGGAAACATAACTAAAACTGTTAAAACATCTTGTTTGTGTGCGATGAATAATTTCATCATGTACATATATTAGTCGAAACATTACAATGTAGTCAAAAATATAAGGAGTGCACATAAGTAACCACAAAATTATTCTCTATATTTTTTTGGCGAAATTAATATAGTGGTTACGAATAGACAATTAGTTAATGTTTTGGTTTAAGATATTAGGGTTACCAAAATAGTAAGTAATCAACTAAAGGGAGCAAGAAATGTTTGATATAGAAAAAGAATGATTGAAAAAATCACAGAAATGGGTGCCGCAGGAGATAGTGGTCAATAATACGAATCAAGTGGCACATAGAACCATAGAAACAGAGTCCTTTTTTTTTGTTAAAGAGTAGAAACAGAGTCCTCCTCTCTCGATATTCGTTTGCAGAGAAACAAAGTACTCTTTAATATATTTACTTACTTTTGAGGACCTTGGATTGGACATTACATTCATGGCTTGTCTAATTCTCATTGGTTAACATTTATATATGTAGGGATTTAAATATATATATACGGATACTCTGTCGCAAACCTTCGTCCATGTCGGAGAATATATGCACCTATAACTAGAAACAGTTTGTGTATTCATAACCGTGATTAAACATCGATCTATATTACTATATACATAAAAGAACAGTATATGTCTAAGAAAAATGTATTCTTAACTTCGAAATTTCAAATCTTTACCCATATCCAAAGTGGAGTACTACTTTTCATCAATATTGTTGCATACCTTGAGATAATGTGTTTGTAAAAGAAAATTCTAGAAACAAAAATTCTTAAGATGTGTATTCACTTTCCATGTCATCGAGTGAACCCTAATGAAAATGCATCCTGATTCTCGAAAATATTCGCTTTCAGAATTCAGCATCTTCTATGGTATTAGTTGAACTATAAGGAAAATGCTCGTATTTGATGTTTTCATTTACTAGAGATTATTGAAATGAAAGCTATATAAAACAAAAAAGGACGGTTGAAAACTCCAGTAGTTTTTGTTGGTGTATCGATGTTCAACTGATGCATGCACGTTATACTTGAAAAAATATGCGATACTTTACCGGTTCTATGAATAGTGTGTACGCAATATCTAATTCAACCATGAGATCCGACAACAAAAACAAAACAATAACATTTGAATTATGAGGAGTTTTTTTGGTTTTTATTAATGTGCATATTAATGAGGTCATGCATGCACTTTGGTACGATGTGATAAATGCAAAAAGAAAGTTAGGAGAAAGAAAGTAGAGGAGCGTCTTCACAATTCGTACAAGGAAAATCCAGAAACAGAATCAAAATGAGAGCAAATAGGAAATTAAAGAAGAAAAATGTTGGGAACTAAAAGATTTTGCATGTGATGGTCATGTGGGCGTGTGGGAACAATCTCTCATATGTTCATGTGGGCGTTGTACGTACCACATATGTTTTTCCTGCACGTAATTTTTTTAAAAAATTATTAAACTACTGCATATATACATATATGTGCATAGTTTTTTTTTTTTTTTTGAGAAACATATATGTGCATAGTCGTTTTTAAAGAAGGTTGATTTGCAACAATAACCACTTTTCTTTTCTTAGCAATTTAACCCCCAAAAAAAAAACATGATGTGTAGAGATTAGAACCATTTGATTAGTTAATGATTTTTTTTTTATGTATCTTAGATAATTTCCCTTAAAAATGTATAAAGAAAGAAACTGTCTGTTAAAAAAAGAAAAAAAAAGTACGAAAATGTTACATAGTCGATAGTCGTTTGAACTATTACAAACATATGATTTCCAATATGCCTTAGTTTTAATAAAAAAAATTATAAGAAGTTTTAATTAATTTCGATTTCTTCAAGTTAGTTGTCATGTTGAACTTGTCTTTCTATTTGAAATTCCTCCAGCTATTTTTTTGTTTTTTTCTGAGAAAAACTACTACTACAGATGGTTTTTTTTTATAAATCGTAGGAATTCCGAACATTTGGCTCATGATCTCCTCGGTATCCGGAGACAATTTTTGGATATTCCGATTTAAAAAATAACTTTCTGTTCCAAAAAAGATTTGAACCCAAGACACAAAAAAACCAGTCTCTTTGTGTTGCTACTAGGCCACTGCTCCTTTCGATACTAAATGTTGATTAACGTGATTGTTTAACTACTGACGTTGTCTTCCTGGTATTTTGTTAAACCTCATTTTCATCAATATAGAAACATAGTCTTGATTAACGTAATTGGTCCAAATCATTTTGGCTCATAAAGATGTATATGGTTGCAGCTTTTGGTTTTTTTTTTACGTAAAAATTTGTAATTGTAGAGATGGGTTAGAGTCTTAGAGATTATGTATTTCTGTTGTTGTTTATTTAGTCTTTATTGTCCTTTTTTCTTCTAGCTACTTCTTGTTTTGGAAAGAAATGAACCACTCACAAAATTTTCAACTACAACAAATTTTTTGTCTACAATTATAAATTGTCGGAAATCAATGAAAGAGAACATGAGTGGGAAAAGTTATTTAAAGAAAATCATTCTAGGAAGCTTCCTAAAAGACATTTTTCGGAGTTTTTTTTTTCTTTCTTCACGTACAAAATGAAGATA